CTTAGCCGATGAGGTTTAGATTTACTCTCACACGAATATTGAACCTCACACCTCGAAATTATAAACACGGTTCCCATCCAATAATGCTGGCCGCTTGTCATGACAGCCAGCCTAACATTCTCGCATAATAGCGCCGGTTGTATTTTAAAAACTGAATTGGACAGTTGTCACGTCAAGATCCATCCCACTCTAAGGGGTGATTTTCTCCTACGCAAAGAGCCACCTCCCGGCGAAGCACACAATATAGGAATATTTGCTCAGTGGATGTCGGTTCCCCGCTATGCAGCGGTGCGCGGTGAGAAGCGCACTCAACGGAGCCAGCTTGCCTAAACAGGCTTGAAACAATTAGAAATACAGCAAATTTCTCCTAGAGCCGTCAGTCTTCGACACGCGGGCCAAATAAAATAATGTAGTGATCACATCGACGATGTAAAGTTAAAATATTTGCAGAGGCCTACTATAACAAAGCGGCAATGAACTTTGGAGTTTCAATATTGTCGCGCCTAGAAAATGCTAGAGGAGCTTCAAACTAAAACGTTTAATAAGGTACCACGCCTCTTGCATCGGAAGGGTGACTGTCCGAAAGCAGCGCGCTACCGCTGCTTTTGCACACGCAGTACGTTCAGGAATGTTCCAAACCAGAACACACGATCCCAGCTGAGAATGGGCTAGAACCACTAGAACTTCCGAGAAGGGCCAAGACTGATCAAGGAAAGAATCGGGCCGAGCGGATCCGAAACCGTGTTCCTCCTCGTGGCAGTCGCATGCGTTGCTAACTCTGCCGCGTACGCGGCGATATATTCAGAGCCTTTGTCGTCTGTTTGTCTTTCATATGCCCCTTCCGTTATCGCAAGTAAGAAATAAACTTCTGGCCATCGTTTTGCGAAATGTAACATAAAGCAGTAGCAGACTGAGCACGTCGGTGCAGTATGTCGCAAATAACCCAGATACTCCCACCCACCCACGCATACAGACATTTGGATCGAGGTCAGTAAAAAGAAACCACGAACCAGTGAATGCTGAGTGCACCATGCAGAGTCGGGGTCGCGTATAATAACTACAATGTCGGAGCCAGAGCGCCCCGTTCTTTTTCCCTTCGCACCAACTTATAATTGGCGGAGCAGCTGTTACGTGCGCAAAAACGACCCAAAAGCACTGGGGAGAAGCAGTCTTTCAGAGCATCTAGTTTTGGGCCGGTAAATATTTCTTGCTTAGTGCTCGCGGAATGTATATGTTACAGGGAAGTGAAGGAGATGCAAGCTCCTTCAACCATTGAACGTTGTGTGATGTGACGTGTTGTGGCGGAACTCGCTGTTTGCGTTTTTACTGCCGAGACATCCCACAAGTGTACAGTGCTGTAGGCGTTGCCGAGCAATTCCGAAACAGCAGTTGCCACCGTTTTACCGGTTCCCGACGTGCCAGATTTTTTTCAAAAGTAAGCGAACGTAAAACAATGGATTGCAAGAGTCCCGGCTGGTGCCTCTGTCGTATAGGGAGTATTCACTGGCGGCCATATCCGTGTGCGCTGCTGCTGAGCGCGTGCTGACGGCGAGCTTCCGCAGTCCTTTCGGAGCGTGCATTTAGCACCATCAAGGTTGCCGGTCTTAGCAGGCTATTAATGTGAGCTCGTTCTGAGCATGCGCTCTAAACAGCACCCACAAATATGGCGTCCAGTGAATACCTCCTAATGGAGGTATTGACTGGACGCCATATTTGAGGGCGACTCCGCTCCGCTACGTCGCCAACTGGTTCGCAATATAGTATGAAAAATGTAACTGTCCAGCATACGACAAAAAAAAAAAAAAAAAAAAAAACAGTCAAGCGGCGCGTGCTTGCCAGGCCGGCAGGAGAAATACAAGCTAAACACACACAGGGTTCGTACAGGCTTCAAAGAAAAAAAAAATCAAGGGTTTTTAAGGACTTTTAAGGATCTGGAAAGGTATTTTAAAGGACACCTTCAATACTGTAAACGCCTTAATTTTCGCGAATAGCCCACGATTCGTGAAAAACAAGTCCCGCAAACAATTTGGGCACAATATCAACACTTCGGAAGCAACATTCGAGTCGCAAAAATTAGTGGCCTGAGTCCATGACACGCCACATACGCGCACTTCTCCCCACAAGCGAAAGCGTTCGCAATTTCTCTGTCCGGGAACATCCTCATAAACAAGTCGTTTGTTTGCGAGGATGAACTGTACGGGTAGTGAGATGTAATCACCTTTAACGTCCACAAAATTTCTGCAACCGTCACCAACTCGTGCACCTTGCACGCGCTGGTCAAGTGCGATGACGGTGCAGGGACTGCGGGGACGGATCCCGCGGAGACTGATTGGTCACTGAAGCACGGAGTCACATAGTTCTTCATGGAGCTCCCTGCTGCCGTCTTCATGTTCCCACTGTGCTTCGCACTTTTCATGTGGCTTTTTAGTGAGGACTCGCCCATTGACGAGACGTCAAACGTCTTCTCGCAAGGTCTGCATTTTGCCCGATTCATGCTCCCTGTTTCCGGCGCAACCCAGTGTCTGTAGTCGCCATGACCCAACCACGACCGCTGGAAGTTGCACTTTCCAGGCATCGCGCACAGCTTAAATAAACAACGTCCACCATGTGGTGCGTAAAGCAGACTCAAAACAAGGAAATAGCAAACACCACGCGAGTGAACGAAAGCGCAAGATCACAAGAAGCGGACGGGCGAGACCGGATCCGGAACCACCGGGACTGCTACCATTGTGGCCAGGCGCTTAACGTGTATCAACCAAATATATCGAGTTGTATGCCATATAAGAAAATTCCCTCGTTTTAGTTTCGAAATTTGTTTTTAACATACACGTACAAATCATGATTCTATTTTATTATGATAAAAAAAAATGTAGCACCACTGACTATCATAGAGAAATTCAAGGGTTTTCAAGCACCACTTCAAATTCCAGGAATTTCAAGGTCTGGAAAATGGCATTTTCAAATTCAAGGGTTTTCAAGGTTTTCAAGCACCCGTGCGAACCCTGACACAATAAAAAAAAAAAAAAAAGAAGAACCTGAGCGCATCGATGCATGACATGGTGAGCCAGGGCCAAGAGGTTCTTGGAGCGCTTTGTGCAACGGACTGAACTCGGGACGAACAAGTGCCACGTGCGGGTTCAATGTGCACACATTGCCTTCTTTGCTTTAGCTAACTTCTCGTCGCCAACTTTTTTTCGCGGCAGGCTTGTTTCCCCGTACCGGGGTCCCTCTCGATAGAAAGCCCACCGACAGAAACCAAGGTAACCAATACTTCGACACAGCAGTCTTTGAGTTAGAGGGATTTCTGTAGTAGCGTCTGATTTGAACAAGAACATGAATGTTGATGACCTTGCGGCGGTCCTTACGTTTCCGTTTAAAAAGTGCCAAATCTGGAGTAACGTGGGGACGGTAACACCCGACGTCATGCGACCACGGTGACTGGCAGGCAGGGACCAAATATAGTTTCCCACGGCCGTTGCTTTCAGGATCAAGCGTTTCAGCTCACAAAGTAACTTCCGCCGCACAAAAGCGTGGTTTCGTTTTACAGCATGACGGCATGGCTCGTACCCGGCACGCTAGCGTCGGAGTGTCCGCACACAGAAAAACCATGGAAGCCCTGACGGACGATTGATGGAGGGTACTTTGTGTCGGGCGGCCGCTTGCGCCACCTAGCTCACGCATGCTCAGTTACGGTACTCAGTTTATATTCGGTATTGAAAGGCGACCGAAATTGGTTTTTAGGCGCAGGCTTGGCGCAGATTACCCCTATATTTTGGCAAAATGTAGCAGGATGTAGCAGGATTAGCCCCTTGGCGCAGTTTGGCGCAGCAATCACATCACTGAAGTCTTATACATATATACAAAATGCAAACAGCGATGCACATCCACGCTTCCAATGTCAAACGTAGATTAGTGCATACACGAGTCATTCGCACATGCAACGCCAGAGCACCAACACGCTTCTTACAAGAACGGCGGTCGCATCCCGGAATACCTGAACACAAAATGGCGGCGGAAGACCATTGCCATGTTGAGATACTCAGCTCCGCAAACAAAGCGACTGCAGTTTCCGGGATCACGAACCCCGCTCGCCCGAATGGCATTTGGCTAAAGGCCCCTTGAAATGCGCATGCGGCAATCAGAAGACACCACCTTTGCTTTTCTTCGCTTCACGTGATCACCGCTAATGGCATCGGCTCAAGGTGGAGTGTCACTATTAAAAGGATTAAGCTTAATGTTTTCTATACCATTAGGTCGGCCGATCGGTGACCCGCGCTGCAGAGCCCAGGGATACTGAGCTCGAGGCCCACCTCTGTCCGTTTGGTTCTATAGATGAGCATTGTACTGGCGTGCGGTCGTGTATCACTACTGCGTGGGGCATGTTAAAGACCCCAGACTAGGGGTTGTACTGCACTAGTCAAATATATCGTCCACTGATCAGACACTAGATGCCCATGGGCCATGCCGTTTCAGTTGCCGTGTGGCACTGGCAACTAGCATTTATACTGAACGTCATTTGGCGTAAATGGCTTTTTAGGCGCCCGTCTGACAAAGGTAGGCTGTCTAAACGTACACGAAACACAATTTTAAGTTAACTACTTAAATACAAAAAAAAAAAATCGAGGACACATGAGCACTTGTGAGTTGTAAATGCGAAAGCATTAATGTCAGCTCCCTTAGTTCGTTTGCGGCGTACTGGCGTGGACGGCCACGTTTCGCTACTGCCGAGCTTGCGGCCGCCGACGATATAGATGCCTGAGGCGCCGCCACGTTCCTCGGCGCCGAGAGAAGCAGAAGCGGCCGCAGCCCCCCATCCCCCTCCGGCAACGCCTGACACGAGAGCGGCGGCCGAGCGCGCGCTCTCGTGAAGCGGCTACCAATGGAAAACACTGGCTAGGGCGCAAGCTGCCGCCCGGTTACAAAGGTTCAGCCGTACGCATTCATCCATGTCACCCACCCATCCGTTCATCAACGAGGAAGTGTCTCGTAGCGACCCTCACCTTGCCCTTGGCCTCGACGCTGACCGACTGGGACCGGTTGCGGAAGAGGTCCATAACCTTGGACACGGCGCCCGGTCGACTCTCGGAGCCGGACCGGGGCCGTCGGAACCCGGGGCCCAGGTCGCAGGGCATCAGGCCGTCGGGAGGACTCGTGGGAGACAGAGAGGAAGACTGCGGCGTCAGGGCGGGGGACCCGCCGCTGCTGCCCCGGTGGTGGGAGGCCGACGGGAACCAGCCGTGGCCGTGCACCGTGTTGCGCAGGGCGGACATGAGGTTGTTGGGCTTGCGGCCGGACGAGCTTTTGGAGTCAGACTTGGAGCGCGGGCGGAAGGCGTCGAAGAGCACGGCCTTCCGGGACGGGGACACCCCTGCGTAAGGGAAAGAAAAAACGTTAAAAAAAATCACTAGAGATTGTTAAACGCTATGAAGGTGCGATGGCACTAATACGCAGTTCCTACTACGACCCTCCATACAAGGAAGTAACACGCCTCAGACGTCGTCTGCAGACCGTCCTTTGCACGATGTCAGTCTGACCGCGGCTTAAGTATAGTTTATACTTTGTTTCATACTTAGCGTGCAACTCTGTCAAAGCTACTGGCGCGAGCGCGTGGCTTCATCTATGGTTTTGTTTGCGCGAGAACGCGTGCAAATGATCAACGAGATCAAGCCCCACGCTCGCGCTAGTAGCTTTGACAACGTTGCACGCTAAGTATGAAACAGAGTAAAGTCACCTCTGTATAAGTCGAACACCCCTATCGTTTTCAGAAAAAGCTTGGTACTGCATCCTTGTGTAAGTCGCACGTACATATTTGTACAGCCGGCGTGGCGAAACCGCGTTGAAAAGACCCCTCGCACGTGCATTGTCACGGCCTCTCAATCCCCTCCTTTCGCGGAGGAGTGGCGATAGTTCATTCCTTATGCCGTGGCTGGCGCCGTGGCGCTCGCTATCAATGAAAGTCCGCTAAACGTCTGTCCGCTAAACGTCTGGACCATGGGCGTATTTTAATGCGTAAGAAATAACTGCCCTATGAAGCGAACGGGCGTTCTCAGCTTTTGCAGCCGCGCGCCGAACGGCACCTAAATTCCTTTGTCCCAATGAAACGAAGCCGGCAGCGATTTGATGGACAGGCTCCCATTGACTGGCGCGCGTGATAGTTCAAGGAACGGGGTTCCCATTCGCTGGAGAGCATCATCGTTTCAAAGAACGCCACCCCATGGCGTTGCGGGCCCCGCGCCGGAAAAGCCCTTTTATCCTGGTAGAGTCCCTACGGGAGCCAGAGTTGCGCGTTTATCACCGTAGCGCCGGCTTTCCTGCACGGCATTCGGAGTCCACTCCTTACGTGACTGGATTCGGCGAATAGCGCCGCCGCGCGTTCGAGGCACGCGGCGCGCTCAAAAGCAGGGGAACGTACGTCGGGGCGCGTACAAGGTCCACTTTCGTGCACGGCATCTGAGTCTGCTCCTCACGTGATCGGATCTCGGCGAATAGCGGCGTGGCGGCACGTGGAAAACATACGCGCAACTCTGGCTCCCGTAGGGAGCCCATACACGAACTCTACATGCCGGTAGCGCGCCGGTAAAAGGAACACGGTGGTGCGCGCTCAGCCGCATCCGCTTCTCTCGACGCCGACGAATATGGCGGCGCCTGAAGCATCGACATCGTCGGCGGCCGCAACCTCGGCAGTAGCGAAACCTGCCCGTCCACACCGCAGACGAGCGAAGAGAGCGGAATAACGCAGCACAACGAGCGAGGAGGCAGGCAGCGAAATCCGCCATCGTTGTCAAGTCCCCGAATACACGGCAGGCAGAACGAGCAGCGGCGCAACGCGATAGGAGACAGAACAAAGCCTTTCCAAAGCGTGAGGCGCAAACGGATCGCGATCCAAAGCGTCTCAGGCGACAAGAGGACGAGGCCCTTCGACAACTCGAGGCGGAAACAATACGTCGCAGGCGGCATGCTTTCGCATTCACAACTCATAAGACGTGCTTAGGTATCCTCGGACATGGTCGTATTTCGTCGCCTGTTGAAATTTTTTGCTACTATAATTGGACAGCTTTAACTTAGTTACGTACCAGATCTGCTTCTGTACACTCTTAAAATTACCGCAGAGTAAACAAGCATAAAAACAAGCGTTCTAAGCTTCTTCGAAGACGTTGGTTGCACGTGTGTCGGCACCGCTGCGGACCGCAGCGATTTTCGCTTCATTCCGACCTCGTATTATTCTTTAAAGTGATGTGAGCCTACCACGGTCCAGGATCTCAGCTAAGGTGCACTGGCTCCCTTTGTCGCTGCTGCAACAAGATATTCCGGAACCAGGAATACCGAAGTCTGTCTTTGGACGACAGCTCGTGGTATCGCAGATCGGGGTTTCTTGCCGCATGTTCAAATGGCACTAAAGAAAAACAGATGAATTCGGCTACTTGCACGAGCGCAGGTAAACACCGTAAAGAGGCAAGAGTCGCGCGTTTGGCCGCGTTCACCAACTGATGTGTGGGGGCCGCTCTTGCTGCGGCGCCTTCAATCTCCGTGGAAGTCGCAAACCACAATCGTGAATTGACGTTCCGTGTTGAGGGCAAAACGACAGACACTGCCCGAGGACTGCGGGACAGGGAATTCCCAACAAGAAGTTGCCAAAGAAGCTGCTGGCTAAAGCGGCTCGACTTTGCGATTACCATCAGCACCGGAAGCGGGGACATGATTGCCGCAGCGACCATAGGTATGTCAATACTCAATAGCGGTGACCACAGATTCCAATTTCGACGAATGGCGTGATGACTCAAAGGGGAACGTTTCTGGCGGTCCTGTTTCTTTTCGGATATTGTGATCCCTGACATGGCACGGCCACTCGGTCCCCAGGATATGAAAAAGGATAAAACCTTAGGGGAAGGAGTACCCTTGTTATTCCTCAAGCCCGGCACCGTCCAGACATTGGGATGAACAAAGACATTCGAAGGTTCAAAGCTTTTTTGTATGATGAACCAAATTTACGAGTAGAATGACGTAAGTTTGTTATTTGAATACGTATTCTTTTAAATAAAAGGGCTATGCGGCAATCATACGTCTAATTGCACATTAGACGAATCACAGTTCTCTGCAATACAGGGACGAGATAAATATTTAAAACAATGGTGTTTCCGCGCACCCAGATATAGTAATTCAAACAAGCATAAAAGAAAGTTATAAATAAGAAGGCAGCAAACAGGGGTAATGCATTCTTACTTAGCAGCTTTTTTCCCCCGGTTCCCACAATCAATGATGGAAAATAAACTTACATCATCATCATTACTATTCTTATTATTATCTATCACTTGAACTGAATCGTACCACCGCGTGTATTTGTTAAGAACTACACCAAGACCATTTTATTCTATATCTATACGGCATCAGTCTATTGAGGGAGCCTAATTATTGTAATGTTTCTTCTCTTCGATCAAAACAAAAACAACTTTTACTAACAAAATTCAGACACATCCACATATTACGATTTTCAAGAAATAGCTCGCCATTATATAATTTCAGAAAAGCTGCATCCCGAAAAAATACGTTAAAGTTGCTGTCATCTGCATAACGTGTCATGGTTGCTTCGTTGTAAATAAGTTACCGAGTCATTGATAGTGAGCACATAACGGCCCTGAATCTTCGCTGCAATCAACACCCCTTGTCGTGGTCGTGAAACGTTCCGCCATCACGCATCCCGAAGATTTTCCTTGCACGGCAGCTCGTTGTAGTGAAGCGTTCTTGTTTCTTGCCATATTCGATTTGCAACACGGCACGCTAGAATTCTTGGGCCTTGCGTGCACCGTAATTGACTAGAAAACCTAGCCGTTAAAGTAAAAAAAAAAAAAAAAAAAAAAAAAAGATCAGGCCACTCACACGGGTGCAGATAAACGCCGCGGAGCGGCAAAAACTTCTCGATTTCGACAGCTTTCAACGCATTCACCGCGGCTTTGGCTTTTGCGGTTCACCCGCATGCGGGGCCCCCACTATCCATCACGGCAGACGGAAGAACTTCCCCCCTCACAAACGCTGTTTTCTTCGCGGGAAGAATCGGCAGGCCGCTCCTCGGGGAGCGGGAAGGAAGGGCCCTGGTATTGTGGTCGCGACGCACGCGGAAGCGAGAGTCAGCTATGAGCATTCTCGTCAATTAATCGAACAAACAAGAGTGGTGGCAATGTCAAATTTGCAGAGCTAACCTTCATATTTATAGAAAAGAAAGCATATAAGCCGTCGCGTTGCCCAAGACGCATTTATAAAAATGTTGCAGAAGAAACAACGCAACTTAGACAGCGGGAAAAAAAGACAATTATATGGCTGTAGATATGTCGTAATAAATTCCAAGAAAGAATAAAATCCCAACAGGTGACTCATTTGATAACAGAATATGAATAGTCGTAAATGAGACAAAGCAGAAATACTGTCTAGACCGGTTATAACGAAGTCGGATATAACGAAATAGCGGTTACAGCCAAGTGATCACGATTTCCCATTCCCGTTTGCACTTTTTCAAGGCATTTGTGTCTGGTTTTAGAGAAGGAAAGTGAGCGGCTCTAGCGGATATAGCAAAGTGAAATTTTGTGATAATAAAAAAATAAATAAATAAAACTCTGAAAGTTTATGAAGTCTCGGACCGCCGCACTTTGCTACTGCGGCCAAGAGGCCATCCAGGACAAGCTGCAGAAGATGCTGAAAAGACCGCCGGCGGCAGTCTCTGCTAAGTCGTCTGCACCCCGCTCCTTGTCTGGAAAGCGGCTTTACCGCATCGCACGCGGAGAAGCCGTCGTTGCTTCTACACGTGTGATGCGACAACGTACCGGCGGAGATAACGAAGAGCCCTGATTTAAGAGAGGGAGCAGTAATACGCCTGCATTTGATTTTTGCGTGGCCAGTGTGGCCAGCGAACTGAGAGGAGAAGTGGACACGTTTGCAGAAGGTGAATACTTTTGAGTTTTGACTCTTGCATGCTGCAGCTCCTTTTGCAAACGAGGCTCACAAACCACGTGACCTCAATCGAGTAGTTTCCCCATCTCTTAAATCTAGGCTCTCTACACCGACGACAGACAAGGTTCAGCGCGAACTCGGTGCCGTGCGCGTTTCTTTGTTCGCTTCGTGATCCGAGTCGGCGTTTGGTCGGTGAGGTCGCTCTTAAAGGAGCTGGCAACGATTTCAACGTTGAAAGAATATGCATCTTCTACTTTTGACATTGTTCACCTTGTCACAAATGACAGAAAACACACCACCTTTCATTGAAATGTTGCGATTCCACCGCGTAATAGCGAGGCAAAACTTAGAATATTCACCGACCTGCAGCCGCGAACTGCAGCCGCGAACGGCGGCCATGAGAAACACGCGGCATGACGTCAATGGGGGCCTTGTAGAAAGATAGCAAGTTGTGCGAATACCTGCTCGATAAAAGTTAACTTTTCTATAAATCTTGTCATTCCAACATGAATATAAATGTATCAAAAACCTGGTATCATCGACAAAATTTTTATTATACAGAGTTTTAGTGGCGCCATCTATCCTAGGTCCACGAAACCGTTAGCTCTATCTGCTACCGCGAACAGCCGCCAGAAGCCGGAGGGGGAGGGGGACAGGGCCGGACGGGTATGGCCGGACCCCGATGAGACTTTCCTCCTTTCACCATATTGTTCGCGCGGCGCCCGCCAGCACGTGGTCACGCGGTCACGAGTGGACGAGTTCTCGCTGCTCACTGATGGCTCTAAAGAGAGAACTTTACCGGAACCCCACGCCTACCCCATCGACGTCACTGCGCACGTGACCCGGAAGTCGATGTACGAGTTGAGAGGTGGCCAAACCTGGATGTTTTTCATTTTTTTTTAATAAAGAATAGAGTATCCAGGCAAAATCTGTTTTCTGTAGTTCACTTCAGAAGTGTCAGGCATCAACTTCCACAATTATTTAAGCAATGCCCTGAAATTGTTGCACAGCTCTTAAGCAAAAGTCCCCTTCGCTCAAGCACCGATTCGGCGAATCATCGGCACTCAACGATGGAGAGTCGCGGCACCGCCGACACTAGCTCGACGGTGAAGACGAAGGCAATCTCCTCGAATCAAAAGCGCGTCATCCTCGACGGAGTGCGCATACACGTAAAGAATGTCGTCCACCGCCGGTGTCCTATGCGGGGCCGTCACAGCTGTCGACACGGTCCGTACGTAGCAGGATATTTTTTTCGATCGGAGCTTCTCGCAGTCGCAGTTGTCGATAAGCGGCTCCGATCTAGCAGAGGACGCGTGAGGTGAAAGCCTCGACCGCCTTCTCCGGGCTCGATAAACATGTTCCCGTGACGACCCGTGTTACTTTTTTTTTTTTCATGTTATTTTCATGAGTTTATATATAAGGAAGAAGCGGATATAGCGAAGCGATCTCTGATTTTCCTTATAAGTTATAACCAGTCTCGACAAGTCCGCCGAGAGCCTCGTTGAGTGCGCTTTTCCCGCAGCACGTGTGCGCGGCGGAGGAACCGCCGCGCGGCACCGTTGAGGGAATGAGACACCTGCGAAACACGACTACGCCGGCGGTACGTTTGGAAAGCGCCGCAAGCGCAGCTTGCACAGAGTAAGCTAGTGAATGTAGTCGATCGCGTCGCAAGCGCTCGTGATCTCTCACGACGAGAAAGCACACAATTGTCCCATCTATCAAAAAGTCTCGGAACACCACCCCACTCACGGTACGTTTTACGCATCCCTCTTTCACTGGGTGCTCGAAATACTCCTGACAATGTTACAGACGATCATTTCATGACAACGATGCCCAGATTTGATCTGAAAAAAACTTCAAAGACTTCAGTCTAGTTATACGTGTAGAGATCAAAGGACGGGAGGAAATGATGATTGCAACTGGGACGTCGGAACACAGAGCCCCAGTTGGAATCCCTAGTGGTCAGACGCGAAGCTAGCCGCCTTCCTCTGCTCGAACGCGTTTGAACGCGCACACCAAACGCCGGCGTCCGAACGTGTTCCACGAGTGCAGTGGAGACAAAGGCGGCTAGCCCGCGTCTCCCCACTAATCGTTCCAACCAGGGCTCGGTGTTCTGACCTACCCGCGCGCGCTCTTGTCCGTCCGTCCCTCCCCCCCCCCCCTCCCCCGCCCCCCCCCCCCCCCTTCTTTAGTTTCTGCCCAAATACCGACTGGCGGCATTAAGCGTTCAAACGGCAGACCCTGTGCGAGGAGCAGACGACGCACTCGCTCATTCTGACTAGAGGGAGACAATGGGCAGAGACAACGGCCGCTAGCCTTTGCGTCTACCCGCTCGTCCCCAACCAGAGCTGGACGCTCTGACGTCACCGGACGCTCTCCTCCCTCCCCTTCGGTTTCTCTCCATACAGAACGCTAAACACACCAGTCGAATCAAAGCCACGTTCCAGGAAACCGTAGTTGAAAGAAAGCTGGGGTGAGGCAACATCGCTTTGAAGACAGGGCCTGCGCACCCGGAAGTGCCCGAAGCGGCAAACACGCCGCAGCTCGTCGAGAGTCGCCGCAAAGCGGCAGACGCGTCCGTCTTGGCGTCGCCGCGTGCCATGCGGAGCGCAAGTTCGTCTGCTTCTTTGGCAGGGGTTGCGGTGACGTCAGAACGAAGCCGATTTCTGATTGGCTCTGATCGAAGGATAGTGGGAAAACCTCTAGGCAGCTTGCTTCGTGCTCTACCCACTATCCTTCAACCAGAGCCAATCGGAACTCAGCGTCCTTCTAACCGCACCGCAACTCTTCCAAAAGAAGCAGACGACTTGCTCGCCGCATAGCTTCCCTGCTCGTTGTGAGACGCGACTACTGACGCGTTTGCGGAGACGCTGAAGCACGCTAGGCGGCACTGCGTGGAGGGGGCCACTGGCGACAACGCTTGGAGAGGGAAGACCCGCACGCCTTGTATTCTATAGGTTGTATCGGTGGAGAGGTGCGGAAGGACGCCCATACCTCCGAGCACGTCGTCCCCGGACTGCCTGCGTGCCCGTCCGGACACCGCGCCGGACAGCTGGAGCGAGGGCACGCGGTGCGTGCCTCCGGACAGCGAGCGCCTCCGCTCCGAGGAGGCCACCGATGCCGGCATGGTGGACGCCTTGAAGCGGAGGTCCCCCGCGGCGTCGCACGCCTCCGACGAGGGGTCCATGGCGCCCCAGTCGCTCGTGGTCACGATACGGGGAACCACCAGGGAAACCCCCCCGACCACGCCTTCGTCACCCTGCGAGGAAGAAGCGAAAACGTAATCAGACGGCTTTCTAGGCGCAAGTTTAATGCGTGTACTTCTCCGCATATAGTACAAGATGCTCAAAATAAATGTACAGTGTTCTTTTTCACCGCAAAAATCAACTACGCATCGCCAAGGAGTCATTCTCCGCCCAACTGTAGCGTAGCCGTCCGAACCAGATACTAAAGTCGCGGAACTAATCGTTATATTTTTGTTTTTTTCAAAACTTACAAATGATTTTTTGAAATTTTTAATAGAAAAACGGCGGCCGACTGAGCCCTCGAACACATGGAGCCAAATGGCGCCAGTTAGCTAGAGAGGACCCCATTTACATATTCAAATTTTCAGAAAATCACATATACATTTTGAATGAGATAACGGTTATTTTTGAAACTTCAGCATCCGGTTCGGACCGCTAGTGCTAGATTTGGGCGAAGGACGAGGTGCAGCAAATTTTTTAATATGTTTTTTTCTTTTTCAAGGGGGGAGGGGGGGGGGGGGGGTTGGACAATTATAATATGTACATTTACAAGAACTTAGGCAGCTCCGTGGTATTGTATAACTTAATTCTCTAGATGTGTACAAACTGCAAACGCACCCCATGGTCTTGAGATGCTCACTCTCTTCAATCTAGGCTCTCTAGCGACGGGAGAACGGGTGGCCCTGAAAAACTTCCGAATCGAGTATATTTTCTAATTGTTCGCGTATCGTCTTTCGCCATGGGCTCAAAAAACACTCGACGACATTATAAACGACCATTCTTCGTAATTAACACTAACATTTGATCTCACTAATCCCGCCAAACCTACAGCCCGGTTGTATGCATTTCCAGGGCTACATCACAGATGGCGCCAGCGTGCCCGCGCGTTCTCCGGAGAGCCTAGATTGAAGGGAGGACTTTCCTCTCAGAGCATGGGAAGCGTTTGCAATTAATTAAAAAGGCGGAAAGCCTCCTGCGGAGATTGATGGAAGTGCGCATGCGCTAGGTTTGCGCGCGGCGAGGAGGAAAACAGGCGGAGACGCTTGCAAGACGATCAACACTTTCAGCGCCTTCCTGCCGCAGCTCGTATCGGGCGCGTTAAGTTCGCGTTCTTTTACTCCTGCTGAGTTCCATACTCCGAGCGCAGAAACTAAACGGAGAAGAGCGTACAGAGGAGCGCGGCACACCGAGGCTATCGACGAGCCGCATGAGCCACTTCCGACCGCACGGTTGTGACGAACAAAATTACTTCGAAGACAAAAAAAACAAAACAATGTAGGCATCTGTAAAGCGGCAAAGTGTAAATTAAAGAAGGAAAAAAAGGACGGTGATGCTAGGAAGTTTCTAGAAATGTTTCAATATTCGTTAATGGTTTGAAGACTCGCTTCGAGCACATGCGCAGACAGTTACATCGACCGATCTATTTATTGATCATGCACGCTGTTCAGATTGAAATGAAAGACAACACTCTTGAACTGGCTCGTCGACGCAGGAAACTGTTAAAACTTGTCAGACGTTCCGTGGTTCCGTCTTGCAGCGCGAGGCGGAACCCGTCGATGTGCTACGCCGACACCGGCCCACCAGCGTTTAATAGATGGCAAGTCAATTCGTTTTCGGGCGAGGTGCATGAACGAATCTTTTTCGCAACGCTAACCGATGTTTGGGCTTTCCGAACGAAGTATCTTTATTCGCTGGGCTAATCATTCTAAAAAGGGCTGCCGTCTTCTCACCGCGACAACATTTGTGCCGTGTGCCATCGGCACGCTATCGATCGATATATGAATTCCTTTTCTGGCGAGATGGACGAAAAACCCTTCGCCGGAACTCCAATTGCAGTCTTAGCTTTCAGACGGATTAAGCACTATTCTACTGAAAAGGGGCAGCTGACCGGAAGCACCCTTCGTTTCGACAACGTTTCGGTCAGCGCAGCCATCTGGTTAGTGGGTGCGACGTCACGGAGCACGAAAAAGTCAATCCAGCTCCGAGAAATACTCGGTACACGAGGAGCGCGCTGGACTGCCAGTCTCCCGCGGCGTTCCTGTCCGTTTAGCGAACGGAGCGCCGAACACTCGCGCTTCGGAGCACGGACTTTACGCGGCCATTGCAAACGCGGCCCATAAACCACGTGAACCCGATCAAGCAGTTGGAAACTCTCTTTACTGCAGGCTCTCTGATTGTTCTCTAGAGAGCCCAAATTTCAACTTTATGGGTCGCGCTTGCAATATATCAGTCGTAAGCGACGATCGTCCTCCAAGCATCTCTAACCTTCGCTCAGCCTTTCCTTCTGCTTTCCTGCTCAACTCGCTCAGGCTCATGAACGGCCGATTTGCGCGGGAAGTGTACGCTAGAGCACTGCACGGGCCGGAATTTCTAGGCCCGGCCCGACCCGGCCCGGTAGAGACACGGCCCGGGCCCGGCCCGAGCCCGACAGAATTTTAAATTTCTAGGCCCGGCCCGACCCGGCCCGAAAGAGACACGGCCCGGGCCCGGCCCGAGCCCGACAGAATTGTTAATTTCAAGGCCCCGCCGGACCCGGCCCGATGGCTGTAGCCCGAAACAACCCATTTCCAATTGAACCCGTCCTGTTTCGACCCGCTCCCGAAACCAGCTCCCCGTTTGAACCCGTCCTGTTTCGACCCATTCTTTAAACACCCTTCCCATATGAACCCGTCCCGTTTCGACCAGTTCCCTAAACGCCCTTCTCGTTTGAATGTGTCCTGTTTCGACCCATTCTCTAAACGCCCTTCTTATTTGAACCAGTTTCCGAAACACCCTTTGCGTTTGAACGCGTCCCGTTTCAACCTACTTCTATAAGGCCCTGCGCATCACAACCTCATCGCAAAAAGTCTCCATCGTTCTAAGCCTGGTCTGCGCACCTCTTCTGTTTAAGAATATGTTCTGAAGTAGCTTTACATGTCAACGCGTTCCTAAAATATACAACCCTTTCAGGCAAGCTTAAGTTTAATATATTCCTAGTTAACCCCTTAAAACGTTTTTTTCAAGATGGTTCCCAAAACATGCAAGCGCGGAACGGACTATGTACACTGCGCGACACTGATACCGCGAACACGACGTTGGCTCTTTTTTCGAATTTTACTTCGAAATGGTTTTAGTAGGCGCCAAAGTATACCGCTTAGGTCTGTGGCCCAGATGAGCACTTCTAAAGACACTAATATTTTTGAAAACAGCGTTTTGATTCTATGAGATAAGCATAAAAACACGACGATCGCTTGTTCGCGCTAATATAGTGTCGCGCTCTGTGCAATAAGGGAGTCTTAGAATAACGTGCTCAAGCACTTTGGGCAAGCTAAAATTAGCATCGCCATAGGTTTTACATCGCAACGCTATTTTTACGGTACCCAAAGCGCTTGCGTACGTTTTTCTAAATCTTCCTAATAGTGAACTAGATACTTTTGAGAGCGATGAATCAGACAGGTTGACAAGCATATGACTGGGACTTTATTTTGTTTACAATTTATAACACAACCCTCGCTCACACGGAAAAAGCTTGAAGGCTTTCTAGCTTCAAGATGTCTTTTAGTTATTATTTTTAACGACGCTGTAGTGAATTTGCACTTCGCTTTTTTTGTGTTCAATGAACCTAAAAGGTTAATGAGCAAACTTCTTGCTATCAACAACAATTTATGATTTACGGCACAAGATTGCCCAGGCACGGCCCGGGCCGGCCCGGGCCGGCGCGGCCCGAGAACTTTTTTGTTCAAGCCCGAGCCCGGCCCGGGCCCGAGAAAATACGTGCTACCCGGCCCGAGCCCGGCCCGCGGGCCGGGCCGGGCTCGGGCTTTCGGGCTGGCCCGGGCCCGTGCAGTGCTCTAGTGTACGCCTTGAAATTTCAAACACTCTCCTCCATTGTTCAAGTTGCTCCTTCTCTGAAATCTAGGCCCTCTAGAGTTCCCACTGCATATTAAATCGACAAAAAAAAAAAAAAAAAAAAAAAAAAGCTTTTAATTGCAAAATGTAGCAGATAAACCGAATGTAATTGAAAGTTCGCTATAATCCCTGACAGCATTAGAACAGCAGAGAGATCCTTCAATTACCCCGCTCCCAGGGAGAGCTTCCTTGCTCCGAAACACTTCGCCGTCTGCTTCGAGCGTGCACCCGGATCCAAAGCTCGACGGAAAGCAACGAATGACAAAAGCCGGAGGTCGGGCATCGAAAAATAGACACCTTGCCGTTCTCACCCAAGCAGTGACTATAGTAGATTTTGGGGAATTAAACAAGTCATTGTCATTTTTATTCGTTATACCCCGACGTCCGCACCGGTCGACAACGGCATCTCGAAAGATAAAAATAATTTAATTATTGCAAGTGTCCTTCTGGTAAAAAAAAAAATAAAAAATAATAATTAAAAAAAAAATATATATATATATATTTCAGAGTGTCGAACCGAAAAAAATACGGGTTCGGTTACGGTTCAGGTTCAGGTAAATTTATTTTGTTCCGGTTCAGTTCCGGTTCGATTAATTCGATCCGCGAACCGGTTCGCGAACCGGTTCGGGGCGCTGAACCGGTTCGCGAACCGGTTCGGAAATTATAAATGACAAATTGCATCATCAAAATAAATTACAAATAAAACATCTGAAATCAGCACATACGAAACGGGATACATCGTAGTGTAAGGCTCAGGGATTTCTACCAGGAATGGCTTCTTTATCTGCACTCAAAGGTTACCTCACCGACGTTTACGCATTCGGACTTTATCTAATTGGGTCCGACGCAGTAGCTGTAAAATCCGCGACCTCCTTACAAACCCACTTACAAGTAGAACTCGCTAACTATCCCGCCACCTCGGCGTGTAAGCAATTGAAGGAAGAGTGGAGAGAAAATACAGCTTTCTTTATTTGAACTAGCCTTCGGTAACTCAAATTAGACCCTTAGGGCTCATTCACACTGGAAGCGGATCCGCGTTCGCAAAGCGGTTGCGAACGCGGTTGTATAAGGATTCAGTACAATTGCACGCGCATTTGATGTCATCGAGTGCGCGTGCAATTGTACT